TTTTATTATTAATTTATTTATTTTGTGGTGGTGGTCCTAAAAAGAATAGTAAATGTATGCTGTAATTTAAAAAAAATTACAAATTTTTGCTTTTTCAGTAATCTAAAGTAATAGTAAAAAAATAGATTTTTTTTCATGCTCAGAACTGCTTTTTATATGTTTCTAACATGTCTGGAAAGGGTGGTCCTAAAAAGGTAGGTGTTTTTCAGGTGGTCTCAAGAAGGTAGCAAATACAAGAATGTGTGTGTGTGTGTGTGTGTGTGTGTGTGTGTGTGTGAGGAAGAACAGGGAAGGAGGGCACAGCGTTTCTGTTTGTGCTCAGCAAACTGCTAACTCCCCTAAAAAAGAGGGATGTTTCAGATCAGAGATTCAGGTGAAAACCAGTTCAACAATTCGAACCAGTTGTCGCTTTTAGATGTTCTTTAAAACCATTTTTATGTCAAAACACTTCTGTCTTTTTTTCTGCATACACACATCCCTTTAAGACAAGTTAGTCTTAAGTATCAGTATCAAGTCAGTCATCAGTAGCAGTTGGGAATAAAATTGTCTGAATGTAATCTGTTTGTTTTTCCTCTAACGTTTGTGTTTTAGAAAGCAGATATCATGTTCTGAAGCAGCTAGTGACAGACACCAAAAACTCTTTGAAAAAACTTTAATACCAGGAGCCACTCCTGTTGGTCTTTATAAGGTTTAGTGTTTAAAGTGGTTCTGCATTGGATTTGTTTAGATTTACAAACTTCAGAGAGCCTGCTGCGACCTCCWGTCTTTCTTGTTCTCTTACACACATTCCTCCTCTTCTTCTCTATGGTCTTCCACCAATTTACAACAGTGCTCTGCTGGTCAGCACCAGAGGTGTTTGTTGTCAAACCCCAGCTTTAATGGATCCTGCATAGATGTTATATTTGTGATCAGCATGTTTGTTTTGGCCTAAATTTTACACCTAATACCCTTCCTCCAGGCTTGGGAACATCACCAAAGTGTGCAGAGCGTGCCCTTCCAATGGTTTTAGAGAGAKGATGTAGGAGACGGAGCTGCCAGGTAGACTTCTGAGAAGAATTACAGGAGGCAGTTAGAGTGGACATAAAGACAGTAGGTGAAACAGACATTTGTTGAGAATGTGGCAGATAATTCCTGAAGGAAGAAGTGGTAACACAAATAACAAGAGTTACCAAAATCCTGTGTAGATGATGGTGCAAAGAAGGATTTTACATAAAATCAAGAACATTGTGGACAACCCTGACCATCCTCTTCATCAGACTGTCATGGAAACACAGAGTGTCTTCGGTCTGAGCCTTCTTCAACTTCGCTGTAATACAGACCGCTACAGAAGATCTTTACTGCCCACAGCCATCAGCATCTATAACTTTGAGTTACAGCATCTAATTTCCCTCTGGGATCAAAAATGTATTTTTGAATTGAATTGAACTTGATTTAGTTTTGTTTTCAGTTTTTTTTTTTTACTAATTTCTACCTTTTTTATTTTAACTTTTCAGAAATATATACACATCAGTAATAGTTAATCTACCAAATCTGGAATTCTCTGGGTGATGTCATGAATTCATGTAAGAACATTGTAACAGTCTTTGATATTTGTTCATCAAATGGGTAAACAATTATCCCCCACTGCATAGGCGAAGAGGCAATAATATTTTTAGCTGGTTTGTCTGGAGCATTAGCATTTTCGGGGTCGGGTCGCGGGGGCAGCAGCTTCAGAAGGGAGGCCCAGACCTCCCTCTCCCCAGCCACTTCTTCCAGCTCCTCCGGGGGAACCCCAAGGCATAAACGATGCCGTTTTTGCTTATTTTCCATCTTAAACGCTTAGTTGATTCAAGTGATTATAT